TGCTCGAGCAACTTGCCCAGGCAAGACGTAAGAGAAATCGGCCTGAGATTAGAGACCGAAAGCTCTTTTCCGGGTTTCGGAATGAAAGCGACGACGGCGTGCTTCCAGGTAGGGGGCACCGATCCCGTTCGCCACACCTCGTTGAAGAGGGCCGTTAGTGCCGTCACCGAACGGTCGTCCAAGTTCCGGAGCATCTTGTTCGTAATCCTGTCGGAGCCCGGCGCCGATCTCGCGCGTAGTTGTTCCATCGCGCTCCGAACCTCGGCCTCGATTATGTCATCGTCGAGCTCTGGGTTTCGTGACCCAAGTACGAAAGGAAGGCCTCTTCGTGCTCTGTGGAAGCAGGAATGTAGGTGTTACGGAGTTCCTCCATGAGGTCCGCCGTACTGCCCCCGTGTGAGTGAAGGACCTTGGAGAGGTCGGTCCGCTGCGTCGTTTTGGTGGTCGTGGGATCCATCAAATGTCTGAGCAGCGACCAAGTGTTCTTGCGATGGAGGTTACCGTTGAGACCGTCACACACCTGTCCCCATTGCTGCCGATCTAGCTGGTCCGCATAAATCTCGATGTCTCTTTCCAGGCGAGCTATGCGCTTGCGGAGCTTTCCGTTCCGTCTCGCCTGTGCTTGCCACCTGGCCTGAAGACTGCGGTGAGCTTGCCACATGTGCTCGAGTTTGGAGTCGCTGACTCCCGAGGTCGAAGAGGCGTCGCTCTCGACGGTCACCAACTCCGCGCTGGATAGGAGATCGTCGGTCCAACCGCAGAGGTCTTCGATGGTGGTCGGAGCCGACGCATCCCTGTTGCGGCGAAAAGCGTCCCAATTAGTGACCAGGACTTTGCGTTTTGCGGGGGCCGAGATTCCCTCAACCGGCATGAGCATCTCGAGCACATAGTGGTCGCTGCCGAGGGAAACCCCGGTGTTCGTCCACGACACTTCACCAATCATTCTCGTCATGGAGAGGTCGGGCGACGTATTTTTAGAGACGCTGTTCCCAATGCGGGTGGGATAGCGGAAATCATTTAATATAGTGCAGTCGTGCTCGTCTACACACTCCTGGAGGGACACGGCCTTAGGAAGAGTGTGTAGGTGCCCCCATTCAGCGTGGTTGGCATTGAAGTCGCCCACGACGAGCAGGGGGGTGTCTTTGGCGACGCGGAGAACTTCTGCAAGGATTCTAGTCACAGCCTTTGATTGATCCTTCGGGGGGCTGTAAACGTTGAGTAGAAAGACGCGGCGCTGCTCTCTGCGCCTGGGCAGAAGTTCGAGCAGAATGTGCGGCACGTTGTCAACTACGGGTTCGTGTTGTATCGTGGGTATGCCTCTTCGGACGAAAGTATGAACAGGTTTCGATGCGCGCGGCCCTCTCACTGCTGCCTCGACGGGAACCTCGAAGCGAACGTAACCCGACAAATGGACGCCATCGTGCGATTCTTGGAAGGCGAGAACATCAGGCATGTGCTCGGCGTTGCGAATATGGAGCTGCAGGTTTCCCCTCTTGCGACCGAGACCCCTGCAGTTCCACTGCCACACTCGCAGGGGTTGCTGCTGCCGTTGCCGGCGCCTAGTCATGTTGGAGCTGGAGTTTGCGTAGCTGTTCCAGGATAAGCGGGAGTGCTTGCAGGATCTGTGGTATCTGCTGTTGCATTTGGAGCATCTGTTGCTGCATTTGCTGCTGGGTGTGCCGGATTTCCTCGATCGCCTGTTCGAGAGCGGTCTGCCGGGATTCCATGCGTTGTGTGAATGCTTCCTGACGAGCTTCCAGTCGCTGTTCGAGGGCGAGGACAGTCGCAGAGCTGACCACGCTGCAGGTGTCATCGTCTATTTCGACATCTCTCTCTGTTGGCGGAGGTGGCGCAGCCTTGGAGGCCTGGCGCTTGCGAGGTTTCTTTTCGGGGACCGGCCCCGGTTCCAAGAGCGGTTCCGGTACTACGTGGGTAGGTGACGTTTCGGGGTTAAGCGGCGTATATTGGAGGTTGGTTGCGGGTGGCGTTCGGGGCGGAGGCCGCAGGAGCGTAGTTTTCGCTGAAGTGGTCGGTTTGGAGACGCACGCTCCCGTTAGTTGTCGTTGAAGGTCGGAGATCTGCCGTCGTAGTTCCTTGACCAGCGCGGACTCAGCACCAGCCGCAGATGCAGATGCCCACGCCGCCCTGTCTTCCTTGGGCTTGCGATTCTTCGAGACACTTCGATTCCTGGAAGCGCTTCGGCCTCTGCCCTCCAGGGGAGGGAAAGAGACCGAGCGGCTGCGTGCTCGGTAACCTCGCTGTCCGCCATTGCTGTCTCGCGAGCGGGACCTGCGGGACCGCCGTCGTTGCTTTTCAGGCTCCGTCGGCGCTGGTCCGCGACCCTCAGGGCGGCGAACATAGCGATGAGAGCATTCTTTGGAGGCCGTGATGTGCCTGCCCCCGCAGATGGCGCACAGGGGCTGGCACTCGTAGTGCAAGCCATCTTCGTTTTGCGACGAGTGCTGGGCTCCGCAGCGGTGGCATCTGCTCTGGGGTGGCATGGGACACACGTCGACCCGGTGACCAGTTCGTCTACAGTTGACGCACGCCTCGATTCTATCTCGGTACGGGAAACAGGAGAGAGTGAACCCATTGAAGTAGAGGTATGTCGTGATCCTCTTGCCTCGTATGGTAACCAGTAGCGCTCGTGACTTGCCCATCCGTCGTGCTGCGAGTACCTGCCAGTGCGGGTTCTGCTCTATGCAGTCGAGCAAGATGTCTTTAGCATCCTCGGTTCCTTCGAAGGAGAGGGCCTTCGGTACGACTATTCGCGTCGAGTCGTTTGGAGTGGCCATGTGAGTCGTGACCTCGTGCGCTTTACCACCGATCACCAGTGACCGAATTTGCAGGTAGGCTAGCTGCCTGTCCTCGTCCGGCGTGCTGACCGTGATCGTGTTACTGCGCGGGTTGATGCGGAACTTGTCGAGAGAGCAGACTTCGCGCGGCGACAGGCCGAGCTGCGAGACAACGGCTGACAGGACGTCGGCTGCAGAAACTTGGGAAAAGTCGAGTCCCCGGGGTCGGAACGTGACTTTAAACCCTATAGGAAGAGGAGGAAGAGGGATCGTCCTCTTACCCTTCCGGCTCTTGGTTGGGGTGGACCGCTTCTTGATGGCAGGAGCCGAGGCAGCGTCGCCATCCTGTTTCTTCGGTACGGAGGCTTCGTTCTTCGCAGCCCGGGCCGCCATGGATTCTTTCACGGTGCGGTTAATATTACCGCGGACGATCGTCGTCCATCCTTCATCGGTAGGCTGGCTTTTGGTGATCTCAGAGCTCGCAGTACCACTCATCGGAGCTGTATCCATAGGCACCCGGTGGAAGGGGGCGCACGAACGCCGTCGACGCTTTCCCGGTGGGAAGTAGGCTTAGCTCCCTCCCGCACCGTGCAGAAAGAAGGTTTGGGCGAAACAGTCCAGAACCACGCCTACATCGTGCACAAAAGGGTCCACAGGGTACGCTCACCGTGCCGAAAAGACCGGTAGCAAGAAAAAGCTCGAAGAAACCGAAGAAAAGGTCAAAAAGGGGCCAAAAAGCGGGAGCTCGACGCGACGCGTCCACTCTGATCGGCCGCTCTTCTTCTCCCCCCCCCCCCCCCCCCCCGTCCCTTTAAATAAGTTAGAAAACGTTTTTGTCAACGAAATAGCTGTTTAGTAAAGAAATAAAGTCATGTCCAATGTACCGTCTTCCCAATTCACTTTCTGTCCAAGATACTCTCTAACATACCGTCTTCCAGCGCCTTCGATTGAGGAAAGCGAAGCACTTATAGTTCCTGCAAATAATAAATATTTAGTGATTTACTTAGTTTTGTGGGCTTTGCGCACGAAATGTGTGCCTTTATTTTGTTGGATGAATAGAAAACAAGAATAATTATACTTTTCGGGTTTTGACAAATCGGCACCCTCCCAAGTCATCGACACCACGACCACGCCCCGCTCTCTTTGTCTTCCGTCATGAATCCCACTGAGGTGACATCGGAAAGCGATTCCCCTGATTCTTCTTGGACGAAACAGCCGCTTTGGCGACACCAAAGCGGTTCTTCAAGAAGCACAAGCGAGGTCGGGTTTTGAACAGCGGCCGGCGGGAGCTGATCCTGAACGCTTACGTTCGGACGCGACATACCGAGCCAGACTTGACAGTCAACGAGGTCTGTAAAACTGTCAGCCGGTTGCTTGGTGTCGGCGTGTCGAGCGTCCACGAGATCAGGAAGAAGGCGAAGGAGGATGACGGACAGGGTTCGACACCCTCTCGAAAGCGACCTGCGAGTTCAGGCAAGCAACGGCGTAGCGTGAAGTACGGCGACTTTGTGCTGTGTGCAATGAGATCTTGTGTGCACCGTTTTTTTCGCCAGAACGAGATCCCGACCGTCGCAAAGATAATGGCTGAGTTCTGTGCAAGCCCTGAGCTCCCTTCGCTGCAGAAATGGACTGTGCTTCGCCTTCTGCACGACATTGGCTTCGAGCGAAAGAAGACTGGTCGAAACTCGCGCATGATCGAGCGAGACGAGATCATCACGTGGCAAGAGAGGTACTTGCGGGACATTGCACGTCACAGGCAGGGCCGTACCCAGAAAAAAATTTCGGGGGGGGGGGGGGGGGGGGGGGGTTTCGGGGACAACGGCGGCCATTTTGAAAGTGTCTATTGTCTTATTTTCGCCTATGAATCATGTGCATCGGTGGCATATAATGGAGAGTTACAGCAAACCGGAGATCCGGTCCCGGTTTGGTACCCGGTAGCCGACCGGCGCCACTGCGCGTGCGCAGAGGTGGAGATTAAAATCGGCTGGCTGCCAGTGCACCGACCAGGGCCGTACACAGAAAAAAATTTCGGGGGGGGGGGGGGATGGGGTCAGAACCCCCTATCCCCCCCCCCCCCTGGTTACGGCCCTGGTCGCAGGCAAGAGGGTCGGCAGATCTTCTACCTCGACGAAACGTGGGTGACGGCAGGGCACTGTCTCGACGGTATGGGTGGACTGCACCGTGACCTCGTCCCACGACGCCTTCATGAGGGGTCTGACGACGGGCCTGAAGCAGCCGTCGGGGAAGGGCCAGCGCCTCATCGTCACGCACATCGGCAGCGAGGACGGCTTCGTCGCTGGGTGCCTGGACGTCTTCCGCGGAGTAAAGACCGGCGACTACCACGAGGAGATGAACGGCGCACAATTTGAGACGTGGTTCGAAGCTGTTCTTCAGATGCTGCTGACAGGGAGCGTCATCGTAATGGACAATGCTTCCTACCATTCTCGGTGGTTGGAAGCAGTGCCAACGACGGGTTCCCGGAAGGAGGTGATCCAGCAGTGGCTCACGTCAAAGGACATCTCGTGGGATGCCAAGATGCAGAAGAAGCAGCTCCTTGACATCGTGGCGTCGGTCAAGCCACTGTATTTGAAGTATCGCGTCGATACTGCTGCAGAGAAGGCTGGTTGTACGGTAGTGAGACTTCCACCCTACCACTGTGAGCTCAACCCCTTTGAACTCATCTGGGCATGCACAGATCAAGAACGGCGTTGCAGCCAGGAACACAACGTACAAGATCAGCGACGTTGAAAGGCTGCTCAAGGAAGAAGTCGAAAAGGTCACGGCTGACAGCTGGCGCAATGCTGTGAGGCGTGTCGTTGGAGTGGAGGAAGGCTACAGACGAGAAAAGTGCCCATGTAGAGCCGATCGTCGTCGAACTGGGTGAAGACGACACATCTGAGAGCGACCTGTCTGGTGTGGAGCCGCTCGAGGAAGTGTGAAACCTACACCTTCAACTTCAACAACTTCACCTTCAACAACAACACCTTCAACAACCACAACCGAAGCCTGAGGGGGACGCAGATCAACGTGACCAAAGCATGTCGACTTGTAATCGTCATCAAAGATCATGGGCTGCCCTTGCGCCCATCACATCTGCGCTGTACGTCTGAAACATGTTTTAAGCGTGTTCAGTTCATACCGATCATCTTGAAACAGATCAAAATAATGGAATTCGGTTAACAACATGAAACTGAAAATAGCTAACAGCAGTGGCATGCACGGTGACTCCACCTTGCAGAAAAGAGAAGCGAAGTACAAAACATTATCATGACTGTGAGGGTCAATTCGTTAGTTCCGCCACATTTTGTTCTTCTTTTGCGAACCTTCTTCGACCTGCTATCATTATTTTTAAGCTGTTTCTCTGGCCGTTTCGTTCTCCAGTTGCTGCTGCTCCTGTACTGTTGTCTTATTATACACGTCCACTTATATTCGTATTATCTTCTTTTTTTTTTTTATGGGGGTTCAATATATAGAGGTTGACTTATTTTCGAGTAAATACGGTGCCTGACTTGCTTCTGGAACTGTTTTTGCTTGGAATGAACGGTATTCTTTGGTTTTAAGGTGCTCTGGTTTTCACAGTCGAGGGCATAGCAGCAGTGTTGTTTCTCTTTTTGGTAGTGTTGCAGTGTCTCAAGTTGGTTGACCCCAGGGGTCCATGATTTAGGGGTGCAAGTCAGGGTTTGAAATATCTCGCACACTGACCAACGTCTCCTGCACGGTGATAACCAAAATGACACCAGGGAAAGGTTTGTGTCTCAAATATCACTGGCTTTATCAGGCCGCTATTCCGACGGAAGGTGCTCTGGCAATCATGTTACCTTACGACTGATCACGACGAAAACTGAAAACGGCAGGCTTGTCGTATAAATGAATACCGCTGACAAACCCATTTTCGCAATGTTTATTTGTTTACTGTAGCACCACCAACAGTGCGGACGACGTCTGGTGAAGCAACTCAGTCCTGGAAGTTTTTATGCTCATCTCACGCAAGGTACAGGGTGTCCCAGCGCGCTGTTGCGTCGTAGAATGGACCGCATAGATCGGTCGGTGAACGGAGCCTGATGAAACTTTCCACGAAGGTATATTTGGATACACCTTCGTGGACATTTATCATACTAAAATTTCATGCCTAGGTTTCCTAAACGAAAAGCGAGAAAAGAAAAGTCGTAAATCTCTATGGGCAGACAGACTGGGACACGGACCGCGTCCCAGTCTGCATGGATTTACGGCATTTCTTTTCTCGCTTTTCGTTTAGGAAACCTAGGCTCATTAAAATTTCGTATGATAAACGCACCATCTAAATACACCTCCGTGGAAAGTTTTATCGCGCTTCGTTCACCGACTGATTTATGCGGTCCATTCTACGACGGAACAGCGCGCTGGGACTCCCGGTATACAGATCTCACCTGCGACGGATAAGCACGGCGATCTCAGCTCACCCCGCGGAAACCACAGCGAATTGAAGCAGCGGTGCCGGTACTATATTGAGTAGCAACGTGGGGCAGAGGCGACAGAAATCCAACGAAGCAGACGACGTCCGGCGTAGCTTCTCACCTCTCAGCAGTGCTAAGCCTCGCGTCCGCTTCTAAATTTTCGTTGGCGATAGCGTCGCTGGATTCTCACGTTGTCGCGCAAACACTGCTGCAAACGCAAGCCGATACCATTAAGATTTCGTGGCGTAACCTCGGGCACTTGAAACACGGTGCAAAAAAGCAGAATAATTGTCACGAGAAACTAGCGTCGCGTTGCTAAGTTGGCTAAGGCCAGCAGCCATGTTGAGCTTTTTTTTTTTTTTTTTTCAAAAGGATCGCGATTGGTTTACGGAATCGTGACGTCATGAAAACGATTGGCTGGCGTTTCTCGGCGTAGGATTACATTTTCCTCTGAGAGGCATTTCCGGTTTTTTTTTCAGCTTGCCACTTACATAACATTTTAATAGACCTTTTCCAAATACCGACGGCACCAGGCGGTGGCTCCACGAACTAAAAATCGAGGAACTGACCTACCTGCGCTACCAATCGATAATGGGAGCTACGCTACCTGTTGTTTCGCTCTCTGAGCTGCGTCGCGTGCCCAACGCGACTTTAAAGAGGGAAATCCGTGGCGTCCACCCAAACGTCGTGTTTTTCTTTCCGTCCACTTTCTTTTTTTGTGTAACACAATTATATATATGCTGCAATTACGTGTTCTACTCGTCGATCTACAGCCTCAATCCGAATTTCCTCGATTTTTCGTTCCGACTTCCACCGCTTGGCATCGGGCGCTCGCGCGTGCGCAGAACGCTTCTCGGAAAATGTCCATTATAATCTACTTACATATCAGACGGCTGTAAGTCAAAATACACTTTTTTGATACTTTTATCCATCGTTAATATAAAACAAAGAATGTCTGCATATTCCAACCATGAGACAGTTAATGCCGCTTTCGCAATGAAGCGTATTCGGCACCCAATACGTTCTATTGCGTTGGTTCGGCCCGCGTCAGCAACATTGAGGCACTCTATTGTATTGTATTGTATTGTATTGTATTGTATTGTATTCTGCGGCGCAATCTCTTTGAAACGAGAGTCGAAGTTCGACACGCCAAAAAAGTTAAAAAAGAAAAAAAAGGAAAGAAAAGAAAGAAAAAAAAAAGGGGGAGAGAAGGGGGTAGGTCGTCAGGGCCCACCATCTGTCGTCGATGACCCCTGGTGGGCGGAGGGTAACAGCTACACGATCACGGTGGTCCAATCGGTACGCGCTGACTTCTCGGTGCGCAAATCACCGTCGCACTTTCCACTACGCCTCCAGTCTTTGCCTAGAACAGGCCACGTGGTCATGTTCGTTCGTGAAGCCGAGTGCCTGCTCGATGCGGGAATCCCCAATGGGCGCTGGCAGGAGCTTCTGGCACGTGAGCAGCAAATGCTCGGTGGTCTCTTCGTCTTCTCCACAGGCGCTGCATGTCATGTCCGTCACGTTGCTGTCAAACTTTCGACGGTACGGTCTTGTGCGCAGGGCACCACCGCGGGCCTCGATGAGTAGGTGACTTCCCAGCGTGTTTTTGCAGAACGTTATTGGAGCGATCTCGGTCTTGAAAGATGCATACAAATGCATGCTAGTATGCTGTTGCATTCCCAATATCCAGCGCTCCCTTTCGACAGCCTTTATCTGCGTTCGCACTTTACGCACCTAATCTTTTTCAGCTTGAGGCTCATCACTCATGCAAAAGGCTCCAAACTTTGTGCCGAGGCGGGTGGCACGATTCCTCCACGTCGAATGGATGTTCTTGAGGTGAATGTAGATGAAAAGTCGCCGTGCCCAGCGGTCTTCGTCCATATGCCGGAGTCGCGCGTAATACTCTAGCTTGCTGCTGGCTTCTCGTGCCTCGAAAGATGACCATCCGACGTCTCCTTCAACAAGCTCGTTGGCCACTTGTCCATGGCATCCCAGCGCTTGACGTCCGACATCTCTTTGGCGTCGTTCAAGATATTCACGAAGCTCGCTGGGTATGCCAATGACAGAGTTTCCAAAAGTCAGCCCGGGTACCGCGACGGCCTTCCAAAGTTCCCTGGTAACGACGTATTGGTCGCAGCTCCAGAGGCATCGTCTTCGCAGTATGTTTCGCTTACGCACTGAGGACGTCCTGAGGTTTTGGTGATGCTCAGCGAGGTAGTTTTCTGTAGCTGATAGTGTCACGCCAAGGTACCTGTACTTGGTGCAAACAGGGATCGCCGCACCCTGTAGGATGAATGGTACAATGTTCTCCTCCTCGCGGGAAAAAATAACTGTCGCTGACTTGTCAGCATTGAAGCGTAATTGGAGTTGATCCGCCTCGGTCTCACATGTGGCCAGCAGTTTCCTCATGTCGCCCACACTGTCGGCCATCAAGACAAGGTCATCAGCGTATGCAAGTCCAGGTAGCCGCCATGTAATCACCTCCCCGTGTTGGAGATGCGTCAAAGAAAAACCGATGGCCGTTTTCTCTAGCGCCCTTTCCATGCTAGATGCATACAACATGTACAGTGTCGGCGACAATGGACAACCCTGTCGTAGTCCTTTTTCAACTATAACCTCGTCAGATTTCAAACCGTTGAAAGATGCCGTCACAACATTTTTATCGTAGAGCCGCTGGATTAACGTCACCCAGGTTTCAGGCATATTAAGCTGTTTTAATCTTTTTAGAAGCATGGTATGAGGAATGCAATCATATGCTTTCGCTATATCAAGGAAGCAAGTAATCATTGGTCGCTTCTCCCTCCGTGCAATCTCGATGCATTGCGTCAACGTAAAAAGATTATCTTCCAAGCGTCACCCACGTCTAAAACCGTTCTGCAACTCAGTCAGTATGCCGCTCTCCTCGGCCCACTGTGTTATACGCCCATTAATTATGGTCGCGAACACCCTGTAGGCAACCGGCGTGACCGTGAGTGGTCGATAGTCGTGTAACAACTGCTTGTTGCCGCCTGTCTTTGGAATGAAGGAAACTCGACCACGTCTCCAGTCGCTGGGAATCGGGTCATCGCCGCAGCAGATTTGACTAAACAGGTGTGCCAGGTGCTCTCGTGCGTCGGGTCCTAAACCTTTGAGCACCTTGGCGGAGATTCCATCCAGCCCCTGTGCTGTGCTGCCGTTTAGCCGCGCCAGTGCACGTTCTACCTGAACACACCCCACGACTGTTGCATTTTGGTCGACTGTGGTACTCTGCGGGGCATCTTCTAAATGCGGGATTTCATCCCTCATGCCTTCATGATTGCATGACCCGCGTCGCAT